ACCAGGCCAAAACGTTTGCGTAGCAGACATGATGTGCGACTCAGGGAAAAGTTGCGGCTTTGGACGACGGCTTCATGGAGAGGTTTGCGCGATGCCGCCGAGTGCGTTGTGGGTGGAAAGTCAGTGGTGTCACCTGGCTGAGGTAATGTGTTGTCAACTCATGGCAACGAAACCCAGCTAAGGTGACGTGCTGGTGGGTAGCATTGTCCGCCGCTTGTTTTCAACGGCTGGTTCTCCAATGGATTGTGTTCGCAAAAGCTGGAGCAGAATCGGAAGGCTGCATCATCTACGGTGTAATAATTGCGCAAAGAGACGCTCAGAGAATTGTTTTTTCACTTGCGCCTTGCCAGGCCAATGTGGTACCGTCGATTCCGTGGAGCACCGGCGACCAAGAGCCCGAGAAGCGTAAATGCGCAGTTTGGTAAGCAAGACAGTCCCCTGCGCAAGTTGGAGAGAGCAGAGCGCGGCAGGCGGGGTACTTCCCAACGAATAGAGAAAGTGACGTGAAGATGCACCTCAGTAGCAGAAAATGACTTCCACAACCTGCATCATCATATGTTTAACCACGTGGTATTCCTGTGCTTGCAGGAAGTGGAGATGTGATTCCGCCAGAATGGCGACTGAGCGTGGGCCATGGAAGAATGTGTGTTTGGTCGATGCGTTGAGATCACTGGGGGTTCCCTTACAGTACCATTGCGACGGGCCTTTCAAAGTGCGAGAGCACGGGAACGCATGGCTGGCGCCCTTGGGGTGCTTTGGCGTGCAAATTAAACAGTCGAAACACATGATCAGTTCAAGCGCTAGATACATAAAAGGACAAGACGTGAAACGAGGTGCGAGAATGAAACGATTGCAGGTTATGCCTTGTGCGTGTGCGACATCGACTGCTACAGCCGGGCAAGTATGTTTTGCACAAAAACAACCACTTTGAGGGGCTACAAATATGGGAAGATGGGAGCTGCATCGTTCGTCCGACCCGCAAAAAGCATGTGGGTACCGTGTGCGACTTTCACCCAGAACTGCTGCAATCATACAATGCCATTTTTCAGTTAGTTTCTTTGACAACGCTTCCAGAAGTGCCCGGGACAGAAAAGACAGTGGCAGTGACGGATGATTTTGAAGGTGGGAGCTTCCCACGGACCCCATCAGGCGGGTCACTGCTTTCGATGGAAGCTGATATGGTAGCACCAACGTCTCAGATTGCTACGCCGTCCGTTTTAGCAGCTTGGCTCGTTTCCACAGATGGGTTCTCGGAGTGCTTTCTGCCGATCAGCGCTGAAGGAAGCTGCATGCTGCAAGGATTTCTGAGTGCAGCAGAAGCAGCGGAATGGTTTCTGAGAGTAGCAGCGCCGTTCCTTCCGGCACCTTGGGAAGCATACCTGACGTCATTGCCAGCGCAGATCCAAGCAGAAGCCTTGCTTGCTTGTTGTTTCTCCCCTGCGTGTGAAAGATTTGCCCGCCCGAGATTGTATTTGTATGCGCTCTTCACGTTTCTGAGAGTGCAAGCTGCAATCAGTGAGTTTCGGGAAGACGTCATGTCCCTCTACAAGTACGTATGGCCTAAAGCATGCTTGAAAGAAGCTTTATTGCGAATGGGCTTCGTGTTTCAAACGCGGTACCAAAGCCTCGATTCCATCGAAGCTGTGAACCATGAAGGTTACAACACAAACCAATGCGTTTGGATTCTTTGGCCACAAGAAAACCTCGAGTTCCCGGGCACATATATTGTCCATTTTGGCAATGTGTTTTCTGCGGTCAAGGGTGGGGCCCATGTAGCTGTGTGGCAATGTGGGCAAGCTTATGCCATAGTCTTCACGGCAAGAATCAGGAGTCTGTGCGGGCTACCCAATGTGCACGTGTACCGGATGATGCAAATGAAGACTGCAGAAACGGATGTTGAAGGTGGTTCCAGCAATGTGCCGAGTGTGTGTATTGAGCGTGCGTGCACTGGTGAACGCATATGCGATATGCGCGTGAGTGATGGACCTTTGCTCCACCAGATTCGGGTCGCAATAAGTGATGCGCGAATGTGCGCATACTTTCGAATCGCCGCTGTGTGCAACGGGGGCCTCCTGCAAGCCAAACACTCTTGGACTGACGCTGGTTGCCCAAATGTTGTGCAAGTAGTGCTGCGTCCAGAAACCACAGATCATTCGTCCGCGTTCTTTGCAGCCATACGTGCTGGCAATGATGATTTACTTTGCAGCCTATTGGAAAAAGGGCAATCGCCAATGACTTTGTGGACAGATGGCGAGAGGAATGCCTTGGTGTACGCATGTTGCTACGGAAAGTCTGCGAGCGTTGCAACAACGTTGATACAAGCTGGGGCGTCTGTAACCGCTTGCTTCCAGGGGCATCCAGTCTTGCATTACTGTCTCATTGCGGGGTGGGTTGACGTTGCAGAAAAGATGCTAGCCAGGGGCGCGTGCTTGTCCAGTTGTGATGACGCAGGAAAAACGTGCTTGCACCAGACAGCTTGGTTTAACAAACCACTGTGTGTCGCATGGCTTCTCCAACGTGGGCTAGACCCGCTCGTCGAAGATCTCTCGGGCGATACTCCCCTTTCTCTTGCAAAAGACAGCAGCCCATGCACCGCGCTGATACTAGAAAGTTGCTGGAACCGCATTGCTTGGAAACACCTCCTTGTTCGGTTCCTGGAAGAAGTGCACGAAAGTGTTGATAAGTGTGACATGATGGCACTGTTTCTAGTCAATCAAAGTCTTAGCAAACAAATGCGCTACTTCGTGGGTGTGTTCGAAGAAGATGTCGCGGGCGGCGCAGCTGGAAGCGCTGAAGTGTATGTAGATGTCCTGGAAACGATCTGGCTTCAAAGTTTGTGGTGGATGGTTCCGTTGCAAACGTTGTGCGACCTGCGGTGCAGCAATCGCAAACTCAGCTGTGCGTTAGCCAGGCTGGAAAATGTTTGGTTACAGCACGAAGCGGAGATTTTGGAGACCCCATTGAGGAATCTGGTTTGCAATGGGTTGCGCGCGCCGCAAACATCACGCACAGTCCGGCCCAGGTTGAGGTGGGACTTCAGCAGAAGTCAAAGAACCGAAGAGATGTGGTTGTTTGACGCAACCCCTCTGCAAATGACAGGTGCGACCCTTGCACAGTGGATTGAGTGCAACCCCGGCAACCAGGATGTCGTCAAATATCTAGCCCAAAATGCGCGCCAAGCAGGAAGACGGATCCAAATAACCCACGAATCAGAAGCGCAGCAGCAGTTTGTAGAACTAACAGAGCATGTGTTTCAGTTCGACTTTGGTCCGATGCGCGCGTGGGTAAGTTTTCTGGACACGCAAGCTGTCAGGGTCTCAGATGAAGAGTGGGAGTCAGAGGAATCTGATTTCGAAGGAGGGGCAGCACATGTTGCCGGTGGTGCTGCCGAAGTTGCTTTTTGTGAAACCTCCCCCGAAGAAGATGATCGAGCGCTTATCCTCCAAGAGCGCTGGTTGAAGCAGATCCTCGCAAGAACGAAGGTTTTGGAGCTTCGTGGACGACAGGCTCGCTGCGGGCTCGTGTGGTTGGCCCATCGAAGCTGCTTATATGGAAGAGCCCGTATTGCTGCTTGCGAAGAACTGTCCGCCACAAGATTCGCATTGTTGCGCAGCGAACATGGTGTCCTGCAAGGTCCACCACCGTACAAGCGCACCTGGGGCCTCTGGTTAGAAGATGTGCTGCTGTTGAAAAAACCGGTCAAGTTTTGGAAGAGATGGGGTGCAATTGGGTGGGCGCGCGTCAGGTTCTCCAAACAGACCACGAGCCAGCAGCAGCTTGGCAGCGGCCCGCAGAAACTGGAAGATGATCCGCGTGAAAACCACGCCACTGAAGTGAGAGGGGGCCTGTGCAACATTGGGAACTCGTGCTTTATGAATTCGGTTCTGCAGCTAATCTACGCAGTTCCCTTGCTGATGAGAAGCATTATGGAACACAGAAGGGCAGTGCACTGTGGCGACGCATGTCTTCGTTGCTTGTTGCAGCAGACCCAAGTGAGTCGGGCCGGCAATGCGCCCTTGGAAAGACGTGCTACTGCGTTTTGGCTTTCAACCTGGCGAAGCAGACAGTGCTGTATATTTTGCACAATGCTTGCTGAATGCGATTATGGAGGAGGCCGGGTGGAAACGATATTCATACCGCAGACAGAACAAAAGTAGCAAAGAAGCAAAACGGTAGGGCAGTGTAAAGTTGCAAGGGGGTTGCGTGTAACGTTGCCACGCTAGGTGCATCAAAGTGAAGATACCTGCGAGCTGGGTTCACTGGTTGGAACGCTGAGATATGCTGTTTGTTGGAACGGCGACTGCGCTGCTTCTGAAGTGACGACAGAAAAACACGAGTCCGAAGCATGGCCACTGATATTTCTCCCAAATGCTGAAGGCGATGCTTCCATACCACAACTCCTTGCGAACGCATGGAGATTGAAAAAACTGGAGGAAGGGACGCGCTGTGAACATTGCGGCGCAGAGAAAGAAGTCCGACAGCAGAACTTTTGGGAAACCACATCCCCAGTTATATGCTTTGGGTTTCCACGTGGAGATGACCATGCGGGAGAAACAAAAAACACGAACAGAATCATTTGCAACCACACACTGACGTGTGGCTCTGAAAGTTACACGCTTTGCGGCCTTGTGGAGCACATTGGCGATGAAAGCAAGAAAGCAAGTGCGGGGCACTACATTGCTTGGATTCCCACGGCCACTGTCTGGCAAAGAATCGATGATGCGCATGTTTCTGCTTCTGAAGAATTACCCATACCGGTGGAGGGCAGAGTAGTATTGGCCATCTACGCAACATCATCCAGCACCGTGCTCTCAAGTGCAAGTACAGCAACACACGCCTTGACGCCGCCGCCTCTGTGTGAACAAGGAGCAAAAGCAGAACATCCGGCAAATGGACTTTTGCCAGAAAAGAATGATGGAGAGCGTGAATTTCAGGTTGCGGTGGAAGGACTGCTGTGCGCATATCGTGCCGGAAGCAACTGTGTGGAACAACTTGCTGCAATGGAACACTTTTCCTGTGAGTTGCGTGAAACAGAGTGGAGCACATTTTGTGAAAGATTGTGGAATGCAGTGGAAGAATACATGCAAAGTGAAATCGTAGCTGCTGAGGCCGTCGAACTGGAGGCGCCTCTCTGGCGGACATGCTTCTTGCCCATTGTTGTCTTGTTCGATGCGTGGTCCAAAACCACCGGACTGCCCACTGTGTTTTATTTGGATGCTTTTTATTCGCTGATTAGCAGCTTACTGAACAAAAATATCACTTTCAACGCGGCGAACTTTGCGTGTCGGGCTCGGTATTGGGCTGTGGGAACGGCTGCTCCTGGTTCGGGAAAAAGCCCAGCCTTAGACCCTTTAAAGAATGCCCTTGTGGAGGTCATGAAGGAGATGCCAGATTTGTCCCCAGGAGAAGCGACGGACCACTTTCACATGCAGCCAGTAGGAACACACTGTGCAGCGATTGATCGCCTGCAGTCCACTGGTGGATATGAATTCTTTGGAGCTTCCGAGGGCGGACCCGTACTATGCCCCTCGTGGCCAACCCAATCAAAATGGGAACAGGGAGGCTACGTGAACTGGCAGCGGTATTTGGATGCTGCCACAGGCGCGCTTCAACCTAACAAACGAAATAGAGTGTGAAAGAATGCACTGTGTTTGTAAGTCGAATTTGAAAAACAAGCTGTGTCGTGAATTTGTTGCGCGAGGTGGTCCTGTCCCATGGGAAACAGCAGTGGACCGGCAAAAACGGCGAGTCAACCGGGACGGCAGTGCTTCGGCAGCGTGCGACGAGCGCACCAATGTGGCTGTCTTCATCACGCAACAAGAATCTGTGTTTCGGAAATGGTGGGCTGCAGCAGAGGAAAAGTGCAGCATAGGTCTGGTTGGGCGTTTTGTGTTTTCTTTCGCCAGTGCCAAAGCACCAGGGCCACCGTCAACGGCAAACTTTGGTGAAGCAGTTGTTCTACCGGTCGCGAAGAACTATTTTCGCGTCCTGTTGTCTCTGCTGGGCCCGCACGCGCCCCTACCCACCAACAGTGCGCTGTTGGAGTGGCGCTGTTCTGCAGACGCGAAGAACAGCGTGCACAGGTTCAGATTAAAGTGTTTCGAGGCAACAAAGAGTTTTCGCTTGGATGAAACCTTTGCATCTTGCCTGAACAAAACTGGTTATTGGTTAAGCTGCGTCGGGTTTTTGAACTCACTGCTCTCTCAACTGTGGCCAGCAGCCCTGGGGCAAGAGCTGCGGAGCAGTTTGCAGCCGCACATAGCACACATGGGCGTGAAGACTGCAATGGATTTTTTTCACATACCGGTTCTTGTATGGAGCATCCATCCTCTCCTCTGATTTACGAAAGAGAACGTGGATGAAAGCTCGCAACCCACACAAAGAGTGCCGCTGGAGCCTGCCAGCCATGGTACTGCTGCAGGCATCATGCGGCGCCATGGTCACGAAAACCACGGCTATAGCTGCTTCACCCATATACAAAGAGCTTGCAAGCACAGATGGGGCAGAGCAGAAAGCCGCGGAAGCACTCTACAATGAAGCTCTGCAAAACTTGGAAGATCGGGGGTTTGGTGTTCAAAAAGACACCCAAGTGGGGAGGGTGTTGCTGAAGCGACACTACACGAGCCTTCCGGAGTCATCGCGAAAACTTCTGACAGACGCAGGTATTCATGTCCTCAGCAGGGTTGCATATTCCATCTGCGTCTGGAAACAAAAACGACAAGGGTGTGCATCAGAACCCGCCACCTGCACGACAGCAAAGGGAGGCATCCCCCGTCCTGGCGGTCAAACAGCAGTCAGAGCCTCCTCAAAGTCTGCCGTGTTCAGCGACGATTGACCCAGGCGATGCATCTCGATCGCGCACAAGTGCGGGCTGCAGTGAGGCGGAAGATGAAGAGGAGGCGCTGGAGCATGGCGAGAAGAGCGAGGGGATGAGTGCATCAGAGCATGGCACTTGGGAAGAGTTAACCACGGGAGTGTTGCCCCATGCCATTACTTCATATGCGGATCTACGCGAGTGTGTTGAAACTGTTCTGGGGAGGTGTAAGGATCCAGGAGTTCATGTCTTCCATCAGAAAGCGGCAAAGGAAGGATTTGCGCTGCTCAGTCATTGCCAGAAGACAGTCTGCCAAGGGTGTACGTTCCAAGTTAAAGCACGAGCAACCAGCACGCTCTCCGGATCGAAGCTAGAAGTCTGCAAAAAAGGAAAACACGGAAAGCTTACTGCTCCAGAGGGTGGTTCCTTGTGGAATGCGGCAGAAGCCTTTGCTATCAAAGAGGCGCACAAAGATTCAGAGATGACAGCGCGGACTGTGCAGCTTGCGCTGAAGCAGGCCGAATTAGACTTTCGATGCACCAAGGTCCAACTTTACAACTACGTGAGCCGCTGCCGGCAGAAAACCGGAATTCCGCAAAAAGCCGTCTCCAAAGTGCTAATAGCAGATTTAGAAAAGGCTGCAGCGGATTTCATGGTGCGTGATATAAGCCAGATCTTGTTGGTGGCTGATGTGGCGCAGCTTGTGGTTCTACCTTCGTCAGTTGTGTCTGAAGACCAAGTTTGTATCCTCTAGACCTGCCCGGGCATGTTGAAGCGAGCCAAGGCCGCGCAGAACAAACTTGTGAAGTTGGTCATTGATGGGAAGCAAAAAATCCTTTCGAACGAATATGCGATCCTGACTTTGTCATTTTTGGTTTCCAGTGACAAAATTGCACGAACAAAAGCAGGTCGCAGCAGGTCGAAGACCACGGATGTCTATACCTCCACACAGGAACCGTTTCTCCAAGCCCTGGTTAACACTGAATCGGCGGAGAATGTGAGTAAGGTCTTCACAGTGGCGATAGAGATCGCCAATGTCTGCTGCAAATTGGATTTGAAAGCGCAGGTGATACAGATCCACAAAGATTTCAGCCGAGGAATAGAAAAATCGAGGAAAGAGTGCTTTCCATCCGCAAGGCCATGTGACGACTTCCCCCATATGCGGCGGGCGTCTCACAAGACGCTGCAAGGGTTGCTGCACCAAACATCGTCGCGTCCTTAGTTGATTTTGTGTTCCGGGTGTGCCACTTTCATCCGAATTTGCTTGAGGCCTTCTTCCACACCAAAGGCATCGTCGAAAAAGACAAAGGGGGGCAAAGGTCAAGCGAGAGCCGCAAGACAGGCAGACGATTTTGCGACATTGGATGAGATCATCCAAATCAGCCGCATCCTACCCACGGCGCAAATCTTCGACCTGGTTTGGCATTTTACCTTTGCCTGGCTCGAGACCCGGTCGAAGAAAGCAGTCCAATACTTGCAAGATACGTATTTCCGCTTGTTGACACCACAGAGCCTGGAGAAACAATTTCGCTGCAATCGTGGAAGCTGGAACCCGGAAGCTTTGTGGTTTGCCGGCTTTTGGTCGGGAATCATTGGCACGTATCCTGGAACTGCGTCAGGATCACAGACGATCGAGAGTTTTCACGCTCGCTGGCAAGCACAGGTGCAGGGGAGCGTTCGTGCTTCCCCGCAAGACATATTTAAGAACATGCAGAAATTGTTTTCTTCCACGTGGAAGGATCAGTTTGAGTGGGAGGAAAGCAAAATATTCCGGACATGGCCAGAGACTACGGCAAGCGCATTGCTGAATGGCCAAACATTACGCAGCACAGGACGGTCGCCTGCAGTCGACTTTTGGAATGCGCGGGAATTGCGCATGGACAAGACACGCAACTACTGCCACGTCGTGCTGCGCACAGACAACGCAGACAATCCGGGCATTGATGGTCTGACAAATTTCTGGGTTATGGGAGCGCAAAAGCAAGATGGCATGCTGCCAGCGCAGGTGGCAATTCGGGAAGCTTTTGCCCAACGTTTATGTTCCATGATAGCTGCAGAGGGGGACGCTCTCATTACCGCCGTGAAAGCTGCAGGCATTCTGGAAGAAAACAAAATTAATCTGACTGCCCTTCGCAAATGCTTCAAGACACATGCGGTCGTGCTGCAAGGCCACCTTCCGAACGCTTCTTGGCCGCGACAGAAAAGAAAATACCGAGAGAGTGTGGACTCTATATTATGTACCTGTCTAGAGTTTGTGATGCACGCCGACTGCGAGCATGTTGTATTTGTGAAAGGCCTCAAGGGCGATATTAACTTAAATGCAATCCCTCGAAACAGACCACGTGGCCGGAAGAGAAAGTTACCAGAAACAGATGAGACGTGATTGTCGAAGATGCTGTCCGTACCCACCTTCGGGTAGATCCTTGAGGATGTGACAAGCAAGTGGCACTACAGATCGATATCAGTGCATTTGCACCTGTCAATGCATTTTCTGTGTTCCCGCTCGCAGCGTGAAAGAAAAAGAGTCTGTGACTGTGTGACCAATACGCACCTGTGTCGAAACGCCTGAACCTGACAGACAGCATGTCAACATTCTTGCCTTTTGGTCTGCTTGACCTGTCGCCTTTTGCTCAATGTTTGTTTGGGGTGATATAGATACAGAAAGCGACGCTTGTGCCGCTTGCGTGAACGCGGCAGGCGTGCGGCGCGAAAACCAGATGCAGGTGAACTCTGCGTGGACTCTGCTTGTTATGTCCACCTGTTTTGCCCTTGTGTCTTGTACATGATCAGCCGGTGTTTTGACTGACAGGAATCCAAGGGAATATGCACTGCATGGCCGTTCCGGAAAGCAGACCACGCGCTCAGAAGAGGAAACGACTTCAAGCACATGAAACATAAGAAGCCGTGATGCTGAAAATAGCAACTTTGTGTTAGATCGTTGGGTAATGTTAGACTGACAGAGCGGTACATGGGTTTGAAAGCCTTGTCATTTTCAGTGCATTTCTTGCCAAACCGCTCGTGCTGAGAGAAAAAGACTGTGTGACCACTTCGCAGTTGCTTCCCCACTCAGATGTCAGCATTCTTTTGCTTGTGTCTTTGTCATAATTACCTTGTAACCGCGGAGGCGGCGTTGCCGGGGTGTCTGTTTGCGCCCATGAGTACACCTGTCAAAATACCATGCGCTCGGAGAAGAGAGCAGGAACAGATGAACTGTGGGTTTTTCCACTGCAACCTCGAAAGTGCAAGGTCCAGATGCTGCAGCATGTCCTAAGCTATGTGACGCAGGATGCTACAAGCTCCTTGAGTGCCGAAGGGCGGGCGCTAAAGCTATGTGACGCAGGATGCTACAAGCTCCTTGAGCGCCGAACGGTGGAAACAAAGGCATTTCTCCCGGCGCTGGTCACGACAACGTCAGTAGTATCTGCCGGAACTGTATACCAAGCAAGACAACAAACTGGAGTCTTTATAAACCATAGAATGATAGATAGATAGATAGATAGATGGATAGATATATATATAAGAAGTATATAGACTTAGAGAACACAATACATGAGATTTAGGTGGAAAACGGCAAAGATGGTAGCGATCCGTCCTTGCAATGACCACTGCTCTAGACATCGAGCATCCGCAGCTCGAGCGTGCAAAGGTTGCTGCCAGAACTGAACACCTCACGCCTCGAGACACCGGCGAGACCCTTCACACGAGATCCCCTGCGGACAAGACGCGTGACAGGCACGCGAAGTTCAAACCAAAGGAAAACAGTTTAGGGGCTCCTGGCCTTGCTACTAGGGGCAAGAACGCTACCAGAGGTTCTTGACCTTACTACTCTGAGCAAGGACGCTACTAGGGGCTCCTGGCCTTACGCTACTAAGGGCTCGTGGCCGAACTACTCGGAGCAAGGACGCTTCTGGGTACGCGAAATAGTGGTCTTGGTTCCCTTACAGCCCCAAAAACACTTCTTGGGTGTTGGTTGGTGACAACAACCACAACAACAACAACAACCGCGACATTGTTGCACGTGGGTTTCTTACCTTTTTACCTGGACCCAGTGTTATATTTGTCTCACTGGCCTTCTGACACCCTGTCCAGTCTTGCCTGTCATTGGCTGCTCTGATCCGCGCGTCGGTTTCCATGCACCTTGAAGGTCAAACAAAGGAGGACAGTTTAGGGGCTCCTGGCCTTGTTACTAGGGGCAAGGACGCTACTAGAGGTTCTTGACCTTACTACTATGAGCAAGGACGCTACTAGGGCCCCCTGGCCTTACGCTACTAGAGGCTCGTGGCCGAACTACTCGGAGCAAGGACGCCGATTGGCTTGTGGAGCGGGCCGGCGTCAGCGTCTCACCCATGTGACTTCTCCTGCGCACATCGAATAGAAATCTGAACCGAATTGAAGTGGTGCAAGCCGCTCCTGGCCTTGTTCTAGGGGCAAGGACGCTACTAGAGGTTCTTAACCTTACTACTCTGAGCAAGGATGCTACTAGGGGCTCCTGGCCTTACGCTACTAAGGGCTCGTGGCTGAACTACTCGGAGCAAGGACGCTTCTGGGTATGCGAAATAGGGATCTTGGTTCCCTTACAGCCCCAAAAACACTTCTTGGGTGTTGGTTGGTGCGTAGAACAACTTCTTGAACCAGGCAACAACAACAACGACAACCGCGACATTGTTGCACGTGGGTCCTTGAAGTTCAAACAAAGGAAGACCGTTTAGGGGCTCCGGGCCTTGTTACTAGGGGCAAGGATACTACTAGAGGTTCTTTATCTTACTACTACGAGCAAGGATGCTACTAGGGCCC